TAAATTGGCTTTGGTTTTGCCTTTGGTACTCTTGAAAGAAAGAAAGTTACATTCGATCAAAATGCCATCTAATGAAATAGAATTATTACCAAAAAAACAAAGCTTAGATATTGGATTTTTAAATTAAACCAATGAATAGTTAACTCCAAGGAAGAAAAAACTTTATTTTATATATTTTTTTTTCTTTATCTTTATCTTTGTCGGTTATAAGTAGGTAGAGTTAGGTTTGGCCCAGAACACTGCGGCCTCTTGGGTCTATTGTATTCCCCTGCTTCCCCCGTATTCAGGTACTATCTTTGGAATAGTCCTGTGTCTTTGGTTAGTTTTAATAAATTTCCTACCAAGTGTTCCTGGGGAGTTCTTTCCGGTTCTAGGCAGAAAAGTGTGAAATGTCGCCTAGTAAGAGCTTCGCATTCCAAGATCACATGGTATGAGGTTCTTCCTCTTCCATCTACACGTAGTGGGATCATTGTTTAATCCCATTACATAAAGGTGTTTCAGTAACCAGTGCCCAGTTATTAATCCCACAATGGTGGATATCTGAGGCCTTGCGAGTTTTAGTGCCTTAGTAGCCATGTGTGGGTTTGGTCCCCTTAGCATGAGTTTACTGATTTTGGGCCCTCTTATCTGTTGCCAGTGAATTAGATTTTTGTGGTTATCCACCTGATTACTGCCTGTCGAGCAGAGGTTTCGCTTATCCCAAATACAGATTCTGGTCCTGTGAATGGTAGATCTGATCCCTCTTTGGCGAGTTCATCGGCCTTTTCATTTCCTTGGATACCTTTGTGCCCTGGTACCCACGCTAGTTTTACCTTGTTGTGGGTTGCCAGATCATTTAGTATTCCAAGGTAGTTCCAGACAAGCTTTGACTTGATTCTGTTTGAATCAAGAGCCTTTAAGGCTGCTTGACTATCTGGGAGAATTAGGATGGTTTGTTTTTGTACTTCCTTTTTAAATTCTCTTGCACACACAATTCGTTCCAGTTGCAGTTATCCTGGAAGAGTCTGTTGAAGGTTGGGAGATGTGATCTGATCTCATGTTTATTATAGAATCATTTACTTTATGTGTTATTCTGGTATGTTTTATAATATGTCCTAGGTTCCAGTTGTTGAAGATTTTCAGTCCATATGCACTCATTCTGGTCTCCCCCTTTATGACTAGGTCAAGGGGTGGGAGGTTTAGAATTATTTCCATGGAGGCTGTCGGTGTATTTATCAGTGCTCCTGTAATACAAAGGCATGCCAGCCTCTGTACTCCTAAGAGGGCTGTGTTCTGGTTTACTTTTAGCCACCAAACAACCGCTCTATAAGTTATTATGGGTCTTATTATTGCCAAATATAGCCAGTGGACCATTTTTGGTTTTAATCCCCATGTTTTTCCAAATGCCCGTCTCCCTACAATGAGAGACATTTTACATTTGTTGGTCACTTTTTGTTAGTGTTGGTTCCAAGTAAGTTTGCTATCTATGATTAGACCCAGATATTTTACTTGGTTCGTTTTGATTAGCCTTTCTCTAAATAGAGTCGGAGTTTCCAAAACCTCCATCTTTGTTTTCCGAGTAAAGGTTATGAGCTGTGCCTTGTTAGGGTTTACCACACCACATTTCTGTCACCCTAAGAACTCTTTGCATGAGTTTAAGGACTGTGGTTTGGTGTTTCCCTCGGATAAGGATCCTTGGAAGTACAGCCATTGATTGTTTAGTGTTTTCAGCAGTTCGTCTGCCACTAGGTTCCACAGTAGGCATCCCCTGTGGATATTCACCTGCATGGTTTCACTAAACATTTGTGCCTGTTCTTGCCGTTTGCGTAACATGTCTTCTATCCACCAGCAGATGGTGTCTTCTATTCTATGTTTGCGAACGGCAGCTACCATTGATTTAAAGAAGGTATTATCAAAAGCTTCTTCTATATCAAGAAATGCTCCTAGGATTATTTCTTGGCTATTGAGTCCCCTCATTTTATAATTAGAAAACAGCAGAGTAAAATTTGTGAATTAAAGAAGGGCCTCAAAGCTTGATACCGCAGGCATCTGTTTTGTTAAAAGTAGTAAATCTAATTAAAAAAGATGAAGGGACAATCATTAATAATTATAAAATATTATAGTGATAGTATAAAATTGTGACAATGTCTAAAAGAAAAAAAAATCAAAATGATATGAAGTTAAGGTACTGCTTTGAATTTTTTCTGTTTTAGATTATATGAATGGTTCTTCTTCATGTGTTTTGTTACCTACCCAAGTTTATAGAAAAATAAGTTTTAGTTGTTTTATTAAAATATTGTTTATTTAGAAAATTTTTATTTTACCCTTTCTAAAATTATCGGTCATAAAACTTTACATTTTGATTGGCATTTTGTAACATCTTGCACCTTGTCTGTGTTGTAAAAAATTCCAATAAAAAAGCAAAATTTTTGTTATACTAATTAAAGTAGAACTACAACTAAAATCTCGCTAATTTTTAAATAAAATAAAATATGCAGGTATCTATATTACCGACAGAAATAGTTGGGCAAATCCCTCCCATCACTGATAACAAACATTTTGCTATATTTATACAAAGAAACGGCAACTCTCAAACAAAAAAATTAGAATTGATAAAATTTACTATCTGTGACAGCAGATAACACAACAAGGCCATGTTTTCAACTAATGAACTGATTTCAAAACAAAACAAAAATCTTTAAATAATTGTAATTACATATTGATAGACGCAAATTTCGCTACCTAAAAATAGGTAATTTCACTTCTTCTAGGGCTAAAAACCCTCTGACGTAGTGAAATTCCACTACTCCTGGCCACACTAAAAAGTCACCGTTTACAAGTTTCCTCCAGAGGGCGTATCATTTAGCTTGAACGGCGAATAACGCAGATGCACGGGTTTGTGACCTATCTACTCTTCTCTATCAGGAGGTAGATTCTACTCTATACACATTTTTTTAGTATATAAAAGATAAATATGTAGTTTAATATTTTTATTATTAAATTGAATAGTGAAACACTTTTTAACCTAAAACACTTATTACTTTAAAACACTTGTTAACCTAAAAACCGATTTAATCACATACATAACAAAACCGTCAATGCCAAATTAATATAGGTATCTACAGAAGAAGGCGCATCGCTCCTTTCCAGGTCCCAGTAAAGCAGTTATATAATACATAAAAATCCATATGGTGAAACGAGATAAATGAGATAAATGTATAAAGGACGCTCATGCACATAACAAAAAAATAAGTAAGCCTTCAGTTTCATTGTTACGTGTCATCTCTTCAAAAAAGAATTTGATGTCAACAGAGACGAAATTTTTTCCTATTTTCTTTTCTTTGTCATATGAGTGTGGGTATGTGTGTGGACTGCGAGATTACTTTGTGCGTTTACACCGAATGGAGTTGTTAGAAAAAATAAAATAAATAATATGTACAGGGTTTACCATCCAAAACTAACTCTAATTATTCTTACTGAATGTAAAGTAACTCAATATTATTTTCAAATGACTACAAAGAAAAATGCAACGACGAATGCAACACTATTGTTTATTTATCACGAGTATGTTCCGTGGATGTATCAAAATAGACAAGATAACGATTAATATCTAAAATTACCGTAATTTGATTACCAATTGTTTGGCGTTACACGAATCCATTTGTACAAAAAACGGTTTTGTTTGAACTGGTTGTCCGTTTATACTTTACGATACGGCAAAATACAAAGCTAATCGCTCATTTATAAGTACGTTATTGCACGACACTGAAAGTCACGAACAAATACGGTTTGGATTAAATGTATACAAATAAAAATAGATAAGTCTACTTAACTGACATTACAGTACTACACGAGTAGTTACATAATATGGAACGATCATACGGCACCAGACACCACCGTGCCAATATATAAATAAATGATCGACAACCATAACATCGTATTTAATAAACAAAGTTTCCTGTAAGAAACAAAAATGGTGAGTGAGCCGGAAGTTTTAAAGATAAAGCGAATGTATCTACAAACTTTCTTAGTACCGTCTTTTAACTCATTGCAAGTAAAGTCAATAACGAAGAAGAAAAATCAATTCGAGACATCCTAGCAAAAGTCCAAGAAATTATAAAAAAAAATAATGCTGACTGATGATTTAATAATTGGTCTAAGTTGAAAAAAAACGTTCCTCTTAGACAAATCTTCGCCTGAGAACCATTTTTTTTTTAATTGATATTTTAGTAACAAAGTATTCTATGTCCGAAGCTCTAGCGACCAAACTATTCCATGTTACTCTGCGTCAATCGGTTCAATACTTACAGAAAGTCTAACTTATACTATGTCCATTCAAAGTTTTTAATGTTCGAATCATATTAGTCTATGTCCTTACCAGTCAATAGGATTTAGCCATGTGAAGCATGTGAGGACATGGAATAAATTTGGCATAAATATTTTAGTCAGAACATTTTGAATAACGTTCACGCGTAGTGTCCGCGTTTACAGTGTTTAAGTCATGAAAATAAGTTAAAAATAGTAAGCGACTTGAAAGAATACCTTTCGGAACCTTACCAGGACTCAGGGTCGGAGTATAAATCAAATATAACGAATAATAAACAAAAAATGGAAGTTATTAATTTCTAAAATATTGTTACGCAGGTTTTTGGTATCGCAATTTATTTAAACTCAACTTTTACAACAACTATTCAACTGATAACATTAACATGTAACGTCTATCATAAAACTGCCAACTGACGTCAGGTCGTTGACTTATATAGCTTGTCTCCACCTTCTAGAACATTCTCGAACAATCCGGATTTTTCTTTGACAAGGAATGACATTTCGAGACATTTCTGGAATATTCCATCTTCTTCATTTACTCGTATCTTTACTTATGACGACCGCAGCACGCTGCAGGGTGCTGCGTAACAATATTATAGGTTATAATGAATTTTTATAATTTTTTCAGTATCAGTGCCTCGATACCGATGAGAATTCTTGTAATTCCGATACTTTTATACGTAGCAAAGGTTCAGATAACAAAAAATATCACTTTGATAAGAGGCAAAACGAAATTCCTGGGACATCAAATGCTAGAAATTTAGATAGTCCAAGCAAAACAGACGGTACATCGGTCGAATTAGACGGACAGGATAATATGCTAGACGACGATGATGTTCAGAGGTATTTTAAAACTATTATTACCTAACTTAATGTATTAATTAATTTTGATTGCGTTTTTATTTTTTAGAACAAAATCCTTTAGAAAACGAAAAGCTAACCAGAAAGATTGGAAGAAAAATATAAGAAAAAGGTTACGACAAAGTGGAAAAGAATACAAAAGTTGCCGAGACCAGGCCGTTAGGGCTAGGGCTTTCAGAAGAAACTGTGTAAACTGTCGCTCTAAATGTCTGGACAATTTCAGTAAAGAAGAAGCAGTGCTAATTCATAATGAATTTTGGACAAATACTGATGACGCGAAAGGACATTTTTACAATAAAACAACAGAAAGATACCGGGTGGAACTCCAGAGAAACAGAAATGTGAGACAGAAAACCAAGTTTTTCTTACAAGTATTTTTTCATCAAGAACTTGGGAGTCGTAGATATAAGTCAGATCAGAATTGCTTATTTTTACAGCAAAAAGCGAACGGGAATCACAAGTACTCCCAGTCAGTACCAAAGAGGAAGCCGAACAGAAAATAGAATTGGTGAGGAGCATAGACAATTAATCAGAGATCACATAAATATGTTCACTCGTGTACCTTCACTCCTCCAAAAAATTCTTAGAAAGGACACTATCTTTGTTAAAAATGTAAAGTGGTGCGAAGAAAAAAAATTAGCTCCACAGAAGAAGTGGCGTTAGTAGGGGGTCGTCCGCCAACAGTAGCCATACCAAGTACAGTGGCCACCCGTTGATATTATTGCAACATGATGACTAGTAGGAGCGCTTCCTCTTATGCGGGGTTAAAATCATGACTTGTTCTGAATATTTCAACCGGATTTTCAGTATATCGCCATTCGCGACAGCGCTTAGTTTATGCGTATTTCTAACGTAAAAAGTTACATATTTTGCTGTTTTTTTCGGTGTATATATCCGTTATTGGTAAGTACACTACTGTTATTTGTATTCCCTATATTTATCTTGACTTAGATAAAGCGTATGATGACGCTAAAGTGCAAAAATTCCTATCAATTTTTTTGTGGTTATGTAAAGTGTATTTTCTTCTCTCTCTGCCACAGTAGCCACAAACTGATTCGCAACAGTGGCCACTGCTTTTAAAGAATAGAAGTAGTGGCCACTGTTCCCGATATGTTTTTTTTTTATTTCAGCGAGAAAAAATGCCACGGCCAAAGACGAAAAGACCTGGTTTAATTGGAAAAATTCCTCCAGAGACCATGAGAAATGCTCTTTGTAGTATAAATCAACATGGTCTTTCTCTAGAAGCAGCCGCAATTCGTCACGATATTCCAAGAACTACCCTTTGAAAATGTTGAAGACATAGCAAATGTTACTACTGGATTGTCGCCCCATTATACTGTAAACCGAATATTTTCTATTGCGGAAGAAACAAAGCTTTGTCAATACCTCCAAATGTGTGCCAAATTGAATCATGAACTTACTCCAAAAGATGTCAGAAAGTTTGCATTTTCATTGGCAACAGAATATGGCAAGCGAATTCCTCCCTCTTGGTTCAAAAATGAAATGGCAGGAAAATATTGGATGAGCAATTATCTCAAAAGATATCCTCTCTCTATTCGAACAACTGAAGCTACATCCTTGGGTCGTGCTAGAGGTTTTATTAAAGTTGTCGTCCAGAAGTTTTTTGATAACTTGCAAAAGTCATTGAAAAGCATCACTTCAGGTCTGACAAAATATATAACGTCGACGAAACAGCTCTGTCCACAGTATAAGAGACAGGTTAAGTAGTTGCTATGAAAGGCCAACGACAAGTTGGTCAAATAACGTCCAGTGAAAGAGGGACCTTGGTGACAATGTGTGGTGTAATAAATGCGGATGGCAATAATATACCGCCGCTTTTAATATTTCCGAGAAAATTCTTTAATAATCACATGATTAAAGATGCACCAAATGGAACTATAGGAGTAGCATCACCCTTGGGTTGGATGACATCGCTAATATTTGTTCAGTGGCTGCAGCATTTTATATCCTATACTCAACCAACACAAGAGTTTCCAGTTCTTCTCATAATGGATAACCACATTAGTCACATTTATTACATAGCAATAAAAATGGCTCTCGAGCAAATAACATAACTTTACTTACTTTGCCTCCCCATACGAGCCACAAACTGTAGCCACTGGACAGAGCTGTCTATGGTCCGCTGAAATCGCAAGATAATAGTGCCTGCCGTTCGTGGTTCATGAACCATCCTGGTCAACGCATAAGCATATATGACATTGCTGAAATTCTAGGCCAGATCTATAGCAACGCATTTTCCACAAATAATTGTGCATCGGGTTTCAGAGCTATAGGAATTTACCCGTGTAATTCAAACATTTTCATTGACTATGATATTTTGGCCGCCCAAGTTACTGACATACCTCTCGAAGAAGATAATAAACCCGAAGAAATTAATCCCAGCCAAGACACTGCCAAAGTTACACCACAAAAACAAAATAGCCTACTAGAAGAAGCGGGCCCAAGCTGTAGAGATTTTCAAAACCAAAAAGAAATAACTCCACCACAAAAAGTTTTTAGTCCCGAGGCCTTAAGGCCATACCCAAAAACTAATCAGATTAAAAAAATGGGACAAAAAAGACAAAAAAAACTACGGAAATATTGACCAGCACTCTGATATTGAAGAAAATCCAGGAGCAGGAGCACTTAAAGGAATCCAAGAAACAAAATTTAAACAGAAGCAAGTCCACTACAAGAAACATTTTCAGCTTTAATACAGAAACGGCCAATACAAAAACATAAGCTCCAAGGAATGACGATAGTAGCGATACAGAATCTAATACCGAAAGCTTGAACCTTACGGACTCTGACGATATTGATTGGACTGAAGAACCTAGAGATCAGAATTGCAATAATTAAATTTTGGCTGAAAGCTTTATCTTAGTAAAATTTGCTATAAAAAAACAATTTAAATATTGTGTGGGCCAAGTTACAGACATCAATAACAGGTTTAAAGAATATAGTGTCAGCTTTCTGAGAAAAAGACGCGAAAACAAGTTTTCTTTTCCTTATGTCCTAGATTAGTCTACTGTCCCACCAGAAGATATCGTGATGTCATTACCAACTCCGGTATGGACGAGAGGCACCGCAAGAGTTCAACGGTATCATCACTTTTCCACGGACCTGACTAATTACAATCTATATTAGACTGAATTTATGATCTGCTTCATGAACTCTATATTTCTGTTTTATGTTTTAACCCAATAAAAAATATTTTTAGGAGTAGTTGTTGTCTGTCCACTGTACCTTTAAAATTTTTCCATTGTACCATACTAGTTGGTACAGTGGCCGAAAAACAATTTTTTTTTTCGATAATTTTTTTCTTGAATTGTACAAAACTTTTTGTGTAAAAGTGGTAATACTTGCATTTCTATATCAATGACACTTTCTACAAGCTAATTTGGAGGTGTTAAATATGCTTAGTTTAGAACTTATGCCAATTTATAAAAAAGGGTGGCCACTATTGGCGGACCTTCCCTACCATATTTTTTTAACTTTGAATTTAATCTGGGATTCCATGCTCCGAAAAAGAATTTATGCAACGTGTGCACAGAATATAATACAAAAAAGATGAACAAACATTAAACGAAGATTTAAATAAATAAATACTATGTGCAAATACCATTTGAACACACATCAAAAACCTCTACACATAAAAAACAGCGCCCATCTCTAACAAATATCATTAAAGGCAAAACGGGTAGGCTATTCACAATGCATATCAATTTTTACAGAAACAAGGAATATACTATTCACAATACACAACAAAGTAAAATGGGTTGCATATCGACCAGGCCAATCAAATTCAAATAAAAGATATTTTTAGCGGTAAAACAGAGGTCAGATAGCCATTAGCAATCACGCTGGTAACATCTCAAATTTGAAAATATTTTTTAAATTGTCCATTTACATTTATATATGTTAACAAGTTCTTAATGGTGTAATATACAAGTTGTGCTTATGTTTGAAAGTGTTTTACTACAGTCAAGCTGCAACCTAGGTAACCTGTCCACGAAGAAGCAGTATTCATAAGGTTAGCTCAAAATTTCAATAGCTAGGCCGCCAAACTAGAGAGGTGATAAGGTAAAGTACAAAACCCCCTCATCGCCCCGACATACTATAAAAGCTAAGCTAGAAGCTCGTAAAGAAAAAAAAACAGGACATAGAAGCCTGTAAGAATGATCCGTCTACAGGTCTACTATGTTTTGATATGCAAAATGTTCTAACATGTCCACAAACACAGGTTTCGATATCTTACTATAAAAAAAGTCCGCTGTTTATAATTTGACGTTGTTAAAAAGACCGGTTATTGCATTTTGTGGCACGAACTGTTAGGTGGAAGAAAAGATATTGCAAGTGCTTTGTATGTTCTCCTCGAAAAACTGTTGTCGAAAAGACCTAATGTAACAAAACTGATTTTGTGGTCGAATACATGCGTGCCTCAGAATAATAACTCGCACATGTCGGCAGCTCTATTGTATTTTTTAAGTGAGTATCTTGAAATTGAGTGCATTGTTCAAAAATTTCAAGTCCTAGGTCATAGCTGTGTCCAGGAAGTTGACGCAATGCATAGTAACCTGGACCGAAATTTAAACAAATTGGAATTCCGTAGTCCACCCGCTATTTACAAAGCAATAAAAAATGTTCTAGCAAGAAAGCCGTATCAGATAGTCCAGATGAATAAAAATAAATTCGTGGATTTTAAACCAGTATTAAAATCTGTAACTTTGACAACAGTGCCGTACAAAAACTTAGTTCAGATTTCTTATAAGCATAATTCCAGCTGTGTTAAATACAAATTACATTTCTCCGATGAAAATCCCATTGTGGTGAAGTTTTTGAAACGTACCAGAGAAAATAACAAACAAGCGTTTTTTGAAAATTTTCCGAGGCCTACAGTTTAGCCGCCTCCTCCCAATATGCCAGCACATAAAACTGAACACATCAGAAGCTTGTCTAATCACTTTTTAGCAGTGGACTTGCATATTTGGAGATGCATTATAAATAATTTTTAAGTACCTATTTCAAATTACTAAGTTTGTAAATCAAAGTCTGTTTATTTTGCTACTGCTTTTTTGAATTAAAATAAATATGTTACTTAACAATCACGGTTTTTCATTATTAGAAAAAATGGTTGTGAACATAGAATAATTTATTTTGCTACAATTTTTTCTGAAGAAAGCAATTTATTCTATGTCCGCAACAAATTTTTTTTCTATGATAATTACTATCAGATGTTACGCACCTAATTCCACACTACCAATTTGGATTCTACACTACCAGTTTAGATTCCACAACAAACGTGGCACTACAGAGTGGTTATTAAGATTCACAAAGACTTCAATAAAAAAGGAGATTTGTTCGGCAGCCTCTGTCGATATGACACAAGCGTTCGATAAAGTGTGGCATACTACATACATTATTCTATAAAATAAAGAAACTACTCCCATATTCGCAAATCTTTCTCGTCTTCAAATCCTACTTAACTAATAGACATTTCCTAGTCAGGTAAAAGAAGGAATATTCGTTCTTGTTAAATC